ATAATGGTCCATTAGTTAATGTATTTACTATCAATAGCAAACAATGAATAATACATTTATTGCAGTATTTACTCATTTTTGTTATGGTTAATAAATAAAAACTGAGATTTTTAGTGTTAGTTCTTTTTAACGCACAGTACATTATTAATGGTCAGAAGCATAACTTTGGGTTTTAATAATACATCAGTAAATGTTGAACTATGGTTAACAAGATTGGAGTTCAGGTTAGTAAATATATTAACTAAATGGAATATTAATTTAAAGTGTTAGCCAATTTAACGGTTTAATAACGTTTTTAAAATCAAAAATAAGCAAATAAACTGGACACGTATTAATGTACAGGGGGTGCTTTCTTTTATTTGGACTCATATAATTGAATCCAAAAGCATCTGTGTCATTGTGTTTTGCAGATCACATAGCTCACATCATTGAGCTGTTGGGTGCCATTCCTCCACACTTCGCTCTGTCAGGCAGATACTCCAGAGAATACTTCAACCGGAGAGGTACCAGCTCAGCATGAGAAAAGTCTAAATTATGACTTCAAAAGTTGAAAGTATGAGATTAAACGTGTAAATTATGATTTGGCAAGTTGAAAGTTTGAGATTAAACGTGTAAATTATGATTTGGCAAGTTGAAAGTTTGAGATTAAACGTGTAAATTATGATTTGGCAAGTTGAAAGTTTGAGATTAAACGTGTAAATTATGATTTGGCAAGTTGAAAGTTTGAGATTTAACATCTAAATTATGATTTGGAAAGTTGAAAGTTTGAGATTAAACATCTAAATTATGATTTGGCAAGTTGAAAGTTTGAGATTTAACGTGTAAATTATGATTTGGCAAGTCAAAAGTATGAGATTAAAAGTCTAAATTATCTCTGTATGCTAGTCAGGAACTCTCATCGCTTCACAAAATAATTGAAACCTCAATTCTATGATGTGGAATTTGCATGTTTACTGAAGCGGTTCCAGAGCAATAAATAAAAATGACCACTAGGTGTCACTGTAAAGACGGGTTTCACTACATTGTGAATATTCAACACATTTGCTTCAGTGTTGCATGAAGCCTCGCTCTGCCCAACACTAGTAGTAGGCTTTATTTTCAGTTACTGTCTAAGTAAACCAAAAAAGCTCATTTTCAGATATCAGAGGCTTTTTTTAAATTGTGCATTGAAGAGTATAATTGCACAAACATCATTTATAGAAATGAGTAAAACTGGAGCTTTTAAGTAGTTTCCTGAAAAAAAATTGTTTTTAAATTTAGTATTTAAGAGCTCAACTGCAAATATATGACAACAGAAGAGTCAATCAACCCAGACTATTACAATCTTATTTAGCTCATGTTAATAATATTGCAGGTCAACTTGGTTTTAATTACTCTCTACTGATGTAATTTGTGCCGTTATTTCACTACTTCAGTCTATATTTGATCTGGATTCACAAATGTCCTCCAGAGAGAGCTGGACTATTAATCCACTTCCACTGAAAACAGGCCACCTTCACGTTTGCATGTTGTTGCGTCCTTGAGTTTGCATGAATATACTTTGACCGATCGCTTGTGTGTGTGTGTGTGTGTGTGTGTGGCTCTAGTGACTTTATTGTGGGCTGTAAATGTCCCAGTAATGTAATGTAATGTAATAAATTAATCATTTTTGGATCTTGTGGGGACATTTCATTCTTGCCACCTTGTCAAACTGGGGTATTTGACGCAAATAAGGAGTAGGACTGGTGAGAGTGTTATGGAATTTCATAACGCATGCCAAATGTGTGTGGTCCTTTACTGACCGCAGTGTGTGTGGATCTTGTCGGAAAATATGATGAAAAGTCCTGCATGACGGTAATAGTTTGATCACAGTGTTTACTTCAATAATGCCACTAATATCTGCATACTGCACATGTCTTAATTCACTTTCTATTTAGTTTAGTTTAAAATTTATGTTTAACTAAATAAACAATTAGTAAACACAAGCACATCTTATTGAACATCATTTATTTTCACACCAATTTACGGTTTCTCAAGCAGTTTGTGATGCATTTTGGAGATGAGCCCCTGGTCTAATGCGCCACCTGGCTTGAGAAACCCATTCTCAAAGACACACATATTCTGAATGCCTTCGGCAGAGTTTAAATGAGCCATTTTAATCCAGATTAATTCCGAGATTACAGTGACATTAATCTAGATAAATGTAATCTATGCCCACCTATAATATATATATATTAATTTTTTCAAATTTAGTTACGAGACCTTTTTTTTTTTCAAATTCCTTGTTGTATTTAAAGAAATGGTCTGCAGAATAGAGTGTATGAATAGAGTTATGTTTGGATTTTGCCACATTATTTTAAATGTGGCTCAGAAATAGCTATTAACTTGTTTTTTTTTGTGGGGTTAGTGAAAATTTTGGCAGGGCAAATAAATCTAAACAACTGGCCTGATAGAGCCAGTAGAAAAAATCCTGTGCTGGGCATGGGCTTCAGTCACATGGTCTTCAATAGGGTCCTTTAACTAATTAAAAGTTTTCTTTGGACTTGCCCATTTACAATGATCACATAGTGTCACACCAGAGGATGCGGGATTGTAGTGACAAAATAGAGAGTTCCTATGTTTTTAGAAATTTATGGATGTAAAAAAAAAACAAGTGTCAATTACTAAAATAGCCACTTTTAAAAACAGGCCTGAGGTATTTATTAATAATTTTCTTTGTGTTTGTAGGTGAGCTGAGGCACATCGCTAACCTGAAGCCATGGGGTTTGTTCGAGGTGCTGCTGGAAAAATACGAGTGGCCTCTGGATCAGGCAGCTCAGTTCAGTGATTTCCTGCTCACCATGCTGGAGTTCATCCCGGAGAAGCGAGCCACGGCCGCCCAATGTCTGCAACACCCCTGGATCAACTCCTAACAACCTACGGGACATTTAGTATCCTGAGCACACACTTAGCTAGAACCTCAACCCTGTGTCGTTCTTTGTTTTTATATATATCTATATATTTAAAGAAGCTCTGACCTCTGGAGAGATGATTATGTCTGTAGTCTGTCGCGTTTTCATTGTACGGTCATTTCATTGTGTAGAGGGTCACATATTTATATGTTAAAATAGTGCCTTGACATGCCATCTGCAAAACATGAAGACAGGAAAGAAAAAGAGGAAAAATAAAAGTCCCTCACCTTTTTATATTTGTCTGCCAATTTGTGTGAGGAATGCTTGTTTGTGAACATACAGAACACTGTATGAATACTTGACTGATTCAATAAAGACTTAAGAGCTTAAGAGAATAAATGATCACTTTCAAACACAAAAGTCATGATGTGGATTTATTTTGTGTATATAATTATTATTTTTTTGTTTCCATATACAGCTGTAGAAAAAAAAAAGATCACTTTATTATGTTATGGCACATATTTTGGAAATCTGTATATATTAGGGATGTGATGAGTTCTCAGGCTACGAGATCTTGCAACACTTATTCGATTTCTTGTGGAGGTGAAAAGTTGTCTCGTGAGTTGTGAGGTTATGATAATGTGTAAGCGTGATTTAAGCACTAAGCACAGGATTGTGTTTGAACCGCACAAAGTGCGTTGCACACTTGACACGCTGGCCTCGGAGTTGAGTTTGCTTGGGAGGGTGAGTGCGAAGTAACTGCTTTTTACTTAACCGGAGTTCAAAGGTTGCCGCGTCCAAAAGCAGAGGCTTCTACAACTGCAGCAACACACATTAACCACAACTCATAACAAGCGATGGAATTGCACTGTAGATATGCTTAATTTCATTAGTGTTTATGACTATTATGGCTTTAAGACACATTCAGTATTCATATTTCAGTCGCATTACTGAAGTGTAGTCGACACGTAAACGATGTAATCAAACTATTACTGTTGTATAGGACTGTTAGCGACAATAATACTGAACGTGGAACTGCTTTTAAAACCAAAAATTAAAGACGAAAAATTACACACCTTTTTATTTTTTTTAAGTTCGATTTGTTTGAAGGAATGCGATTCTCAGACGCCCTTTCAGCTGCAACCCAGTACTGGGTAACACCCATACACTTTCACATGCACACACATACACTACGACCAATTTAGTTTATTCAATACACCATTACCACATGTCTTTGGACTTGTGGAGGAAACCAGGAGTACCCAGAGGAAACCCACACTAACATGAAATGCCAGAGATGCCAACTGACCCAGCCCGGGCTCGAACCAGCGATCTGCTTGCTGTAAGACAATTGTGCACCATCGAGCTGCCCAATTTTCCATTCATATAATAGCAAAATATTTAGCAGTGTTTTCATGTCCTTTACTGTATAGAATTGATTAAAATAAAAGTTAAATCACATTCATAACAAGTTGATTTTAAAATAGCACCAGAACAGTTTTGCAATTTGTGATTTTTTTTGCAGTTGAATATAATATTTACCATTCATATATTTCATCATTGAAGATTTCTTAAAAACACTAAAAATGTTGTCTTATGGAGTAAGTGTCTCATCACACCCTAATATATATATTTAATTTTTTTTATAAACTACAGATGTCCATATACAGCTCTAGGGGGGGATAATAATGCGAGACCACTATATAATCAGTTCTGCTACATATCATCCATTGAAAAAAAGTCATCAATAATACTTATTCATCTATTATACTAATGCTATTCCTTCCTAATTTAATAGACAAGAAATAAAAACTATTTACAAAAACTCCAAAAATGTAAATACTATATAATAACAATTTAACCATTTCACCATAACATGTAATAAGGTACATTTTTATAAATTACCGATAACCTGCTAAAATCTTAAAATAAGAATATTAGTTATGGGGAAACATTTGAGTAAAACTATTTCAGTTTTCTTCTATTACACTATTTCTTCCGTATTTAAAGCATTTTGTTGCATTTAATAAATCAAACAATAAAATAATTTTAGACAACACAATATCAATGTTTCAACTTGAGAAAAATGCAATATTTCCTGAAATAACCCTGATTTTCAATTGCAACAAATGAAGACAGACAATATTTTTATTTAAAATGTGGAAGAAATGATGATGTTAATCATTTAACAAGCTCTGTAACTGCAGTTTTTTCTCTTGGTGTGCCTGTTAAACAGCATATTCACCACTGCTGCTGTGATTCTATAGTTCCACAAGGGGGCGACAGAGGAGCAGGCATTGACCTACCGCTTATAAATAAATGCATTCAGATGAAGTCAAACAGAGAAACTGTGATAAATGATTCGACCATAAACATTTAAATGCATGAATGTATATGCACCTGAATTTCCCTGGACAACATCCAATCTGTGTTCCAGAGACAGGACTTCATAAGGTTGCCTGAGGAGATCCTACCATTTTATATCAGTGGCTGAAAAAGCAGAAAAGTCCAAAGTAGAAGTGACACAAGCCCTTAAAATGTCTTTAAATGTCATGAATGCAGGAAGTGAGAGATTGGTCACTTTTTTCTGCGCACGACTGTCCATCCGTCATCTTCCTCCTCCTCATGATGAAGATCATTCACTGCTGTACTGCTGACTGAAGCCACTGCTGATCCTCCTTCACAATCCATAGCCTGAGGAAAACAACATTGTTCTTAAAGGGCACATAGTTTACCCCTTTTTTATGATTTAATATTAATATTATGGTTTATATCTGTGTGCCAGTTTAGGTTCGGTTCAACACACAGTTCAGATGTTTTTATTATAATGTGTTAAAAAGTGTCATGTTGTGGGCGTTTACAGTTTTAGGGGCGTGTTGCTTCATATGAAAATTAGTTTCGGCTTCCCACCCAACTTAACAAGGGGGCGGAGCCAAAAGCTCCCACGCTCTGTGTTTGCAACAGACAGGCTGACAGACAGAGAGAGAGAAGCAAAGCTTAGCTAGGATCAGCATTCAGCCGTACATGTACGAGTAGGACTGACCAAGCAGATGGTACAAAATCATTTGTTTGTATAGTCTCTGTGTACAAGTGCCGAGCTTGTACACCGAGACTGATAACCAGACACACGGAATTAACCTTGATTGAGGCAATGACTGCGCCACGACACAGCACACCAGACACTCTCAGTGGCGTGGCAGAAACATGTCTCGAATCGAAACACACCACGCATTCGAGAACTCCAAACACAGGCCTCCACCAGGGCAACTACAACGGCGCCGCCAACCCAAAGCTCCGCCGCGTGCACCCCGACCGAAACCCACGCCCAGAACTCCGAAATGCACGGCGCCACGCAAATGGTACAAGCAATAATTCCGATTAGAGCGATAATGTGGAGAATATTGATCTTGTGTTGAGCCCAATGAGCTTTTCATCTAAAAATAGAGCAAGGGTGTTCCTTTAGTGACATCGCTTTGACTTACACACTGAAAATGGCGGATGTGAAACAAGAAACTGAGGATATGATCGTGACGCGAGGCTGACAATCAATATTGGTGGACGGGGGGACCGCTCTCCTACGTAAAGTTGCAGTCGGTCTAAAAACCGCTCCAATTGGTCAATCGTTTTTATGTAGTTAAATTGAAAAAAAAAAAGGACTGTGTGTGTTTATATTACCCCAATAGGACAGTCTAAACACTATACACACATACGTCCGTCCAAACAGCTTGAAAAGTAGATTTTTCACCATAGGTGCCCTTTAAATCACAGCAAAGTAGAACAGTGTTTCCCAACCCTGTTCCTGAAGGCACACCAACAGTACACATTTTCAACCTTTTCCTAATCAAACACACCTGAATCAGCTCATTGGAACATTAGAAGAGACTCCAAAATCTCAAATGAATGGATCAGATGAGGGAGACATTCAGTATGCTGTTGGTGTGCCTCAAGGAACAGGGTTGGGGAAACTACAGTAACGCCTGACCTAAGACAGGACAAACAGTGGCCTTCATTTAAAAATATTACTGTTATGTTGATGTAGACTTTTAAAGTGTAGATGTATAAGTGACATGCATATAAATCGATACATATATAAATAAAAAGTCTTTATATTCTACATAGAAATTGTCTAAAACACTGAAAAATGTATGATTGTTTTTTTTCTGAACACATATACACTGCACCTCTTCCTCATCATCATCATCATCATCATCCTGAGGTGTTTGTGCAGGAGTGGCTTTAGCTCTTCCGCTGCTTGTCTTCTTCTGTTTCAGTTTAAGGATCTGCTCTCTGACCTCCGCCAATCTGCCCTGCTCACACTGCTGGAACATCCCACACACCTGCTGCGCCACCTGACACACACAAAGAAACACACACATTTAATCATCCATGAGTTTCTATTCAGAGACAAATAAAAATGAGGACACGAAGTGATCAAATCAACAAAACAAAAATGCATACAAAACATGAACATGATCACTTGCGAAATAATTAAGTCCTTTCACAGGAGCGTTTATAATTGTGTCTTTAACGGGATAGAACAACAGATAGAATTATAGATAGAACGAGCTAAATAGAACACGCTAGATAGAGCAAGACTGATAGAACGAGACCAATAGAGCAAGACTGATAGAATAAGACTGATAGACTGATACAGAAATAAAATGATATAGATAGAATGATATAGAATGAGATAGATGGAATATTTATATACATAAATAGAACAATATATAGATGGACCGATAGAATGATAGATTTATAGAACAATTGATATATAGATAGAATGATATACAGTTGAACTCAGAATTATTAGCCCCCCTGACTTATTAAACCGCTTGTTTATGTTTTCCCCAAATTCTGTTTAACGGAGAGATTTTTTCAACATTTCTAAACATAATAATTTAATAACACATTTGTAATAATGTATTTATTTTATCTTTGCCAAGATGACAGTAAATAATATTTGACTAGATCTTTTTCAAGACACTTTCATACAGCTTAAAGTGACTTTTAAAGGCTTAACTAGGTTAATTAGGTTAACTAGGCAGGTTAGGGTAATTAGGCAAGTTATTGTATAACGGTGGTTTGTTCTGTAGGCAATCGAGAAAAAGTCTAGCTTAAAGGGGCTAATAATATTACCCCTAAAATGGTGTTTAATAAATTAAAAACAGCTTTTATTTTAGCCGAAATAAAACAAATGAGACTTTCTCCAGAAGAAAAAATATTATCAGACATACTGTGAAAATGTCCTTGCTCTGTTAAACATCATTTGAAAATTATTTTAAAAAAAGAAGAAAAAAAATTGAAGGGGGCTGATAATTCTGACTTCAACTGTAGATGTATAAATAGAATGATAGATCGATAAAACAATAGATACAGAGAATGATATATAGAATAACATAGACATATGAATAGACTTATAGATATAACGTTATAGATCTATCAAAGGATAGAACGATAGACTAAAACAACAGAGCAATAGATAAAACGATAGCTAGAATGATAGATATACAGATGGAACGACATAGCTCTGCAGAGAAAACAATAGAACGATAGACAGAATGAAAAATGAGGATAGAACGATAAGATAGAACAATAATAGAATGATCGACAGATAGAATAATAAATATATAGAACAACAGATAAAATGATAGACAGAATGAAAGATCGATAGATCAATAAAACGATGGATAGATGGATGGATGGATAGAGATAGAGACATAGCTATGTCTATGTAAGATTGATAGAACAATAGACAGAATGACAGATATATGGATAGAACAACAGATAGAATGACATGGATATATAGACAGAATAATAGACAGAATGTTAGATGGATCAAAACAATAAATTAATCAAACAATGGATAGAATAATAGATAGAATAAAAAAGATATATAGAACAATGGATAGATGTATAGATAGAACAACAGATAGTATGATATAAATAGATAAAATATAGAAAGGAAGGTAGATGATAATAATCTCTCACACACACACACACACACACACACACACACACACACACACACACACACACACACACACACACACACACACACACACACACACACACACACACACACACACACACACACACACACACACACACACACACACACACACACACACCTCCAGCTAGCTTTCATTCAGATCTCTCATGTCAAGACCAAAAGACAACAGACCTGAGGCAGACTGCCATCATCCACCACTGTGTTGAACTCATTGTTCATGAGCTCAGAGATAAAGTCCTCCACCTCATCCTGCTGGAGATCACCTGTGGACACAAACAGACCATCTGTCAGCTCTTAAAGAGACAATTCACTAAAATAGAACAATTTACACACCCTCACCAGCTCACACTCGAGTGGCTTCAAAAGATATTTTGAAGAGTCCTGAAAACCATTGACACCCAGAGTACGAAAAAACACTGGGATAGTCAGTGGTTACTGGTTTCAAACATTCTTCAAAATAACTTATTTTGTGTTTAACGCAATAAAAAAATCAAACTGGTTTGGAACAAGTGAAGGGTGAGAAAATTATGACAGAATGTTCAGTCGTGGGTTTCTTGGCGGTTGCTAAGGTGTTGAGTGCAGCGCTCTGACCGTTGTCGGTGAAGTATTGCTGCAGCGCGTCCACCATCCACTCCGCCTTCTGCTGACTGAACGCTCCACCGAAGCCGTTGTCCACCGCTATCTAATAACAAAACACATTATTTACTGTGTGTGTATATATGTATGTATATATATATATATATATATATATATATATATATATATATATATATATATATATATATATATATGTATGTATATGTATATATACACGAGCAGCTGAAAGAAATATCGCGACACAGACATGTTTACACTGTGAAGCGCATCCTGATATCAGTCTGCTTGCCGATTCATATCAGACTGAAGCTTACGTAATAGATTTTGCAGACATGGTATCATATGATATGTATTTCCGATCACAAATGCTATTAGTTTACTAACTTGCAGCACCGGCCAAGTTTCCAAAACAGCCCGAACTGCTTCACTGAACACCTCACGTGTGGACGATGAGAGCGGCGCCATCTTGAAAACCAGCATACCCGAAGGGTCGATCGCAGATTTCAAGAGATTCCCTAGGCAAAAGAATCGATCACAGAAACCGCCAAAGCACCTTCTTTTCATCCGCATTTACATTTTTCTTTTCAAAATTGCACATATTTTTCAATATTATAAAGTGGTTATTATGTAAGATTATAAACTCAGCATTGTGACTCTAAATACATTATAGGACAGCATTGGTTTAGTGCTGTTGTTTTATTATTTTGCTATTTTCATTGAGGTGTTTTAGCCTATTTTGGTATTGCATAACTATCAGGAACAAACATACAACACAATATAAAAGATGAAACAAAAAAACTAATTTAATAATCGTAAAAAAATATTTATAGATAAATATATAATAATGAATAAAAATAACTAATTAAAATGAATACACAAAGCATAGTGTACAGAAATTCTACATCCAATGATTTTAAAAACTGACAGGGGAATCAAACAAGTGTTATAATAGTTAATACATATCTCAGATTTTTTTGCTTTTCAATCATTTCACAGAAATAAAGTCAAACTAGATACAGAAAACTGTTAATGTGGGAGATGATTTAGCCAATTCCTGTTTGTGTATGTACAATTTTGCCAATAAAATAGAGATTAAAACTAAATTCAAGACTTCTGTTGGATCTGTTTTCTTAAAAATAATAAGTTTAGTCATTTTAAAAATATATTAAAAATATAAAAATTACATACAAAAATATATTTGGCTAGATCCTTTCAGAAATAATGTTAGTATATGTATCAAATATTGTACAATTACTTTAAAAGATTTTGGTTTTTTAATGATAAATGTGTTGTTTAAAAGTTAGGCGTTTGTTTTTTAAGTTTTATAAAGCTAAGGTTTTATAAAGGTTTTAAGGCAGGGGTCACCACTCCCGGTGTAGCAGTCGATTCTGTTCCCTTCTGGATTTCCAGTTCCCCCTCTACAAAGGGTGTTCGTACAGCTTTTGCAGACACCTAAACACAACTGGGTGTACAGAAAGCAGACTAGTGGTTCTAAAAGTACATATTTTTTCTGAACTTGAAAATGAAAAGGACTAATATAACTGTAGGCCTTCACGCAATATTGAACTAGGGTGCATAAACTCAAACATTTAAAAAAAAAGTTAATAATACTAACAAGAACCAAAAAAAAATACTTCATGGGAGAGTTAGATTCATTTTATTAAGCTACTTTGGCATTGCAAGACATGAAAGCAATGTCCATTTTGGCTTTCCGTACACCTAGTTGTGTTGGGGTTGTGTCTGCAGACTCTGTTAGCGGACTTGCTTTGTAGAGGGGGAACCAGAATCGACTGCTACACTGGTCTTGGATGGCCAGTGTCCCTCCAGAGTTTAGCTCCAACTTGCCTCAACACACCTGCCTGGATGTTTCGAGCATACGTAGTAAGAGCTCGATTAGCTTGTTCAGGTGTGCTTGATTAGAGTTGGAGCTAAAATCTGCAGGACACCGGCCCTCCAGGAATAAGTGTGATGACACCTGCCGTTTTAAGGGTTCAATTTCATTAGGCAGATTTTGAAATGGAGTCAAGTAATTAATTACTTATTGAGTAAATAAGTTACATTTTAGATAAGCTAGAAAAGTAATTTAAATACAATTTAAACCATATAATTAGTAATTACTTTTTGAAGTAACTTAATTAAACTGGTCAGGCGAGAGCAATTGGGTAAAAGCTAAACTTTTTTTGATTTTCCCATTTCAGCCACAAACTAATTGTGATGCGCACTTACATTTAGTAATGCTTTTTATTTCAAAAGGCCACATATTGATCAAGATCATAAAGCAAACTGAATAAAAGCAGCTTTTTGAATTTAATGTAAATACTTTTTAATGGCCGTGAAGTAAGATTTAATCCAAATGTAGAAGCTATTATCATTCTGACCCTCATCACATTGAGGAAAAGTTGGCTTTATATTTGCACATTTGTTCATTTTAATGGCTCCTATATTGTTTACCATGCTACTTTGAATATTTAGCCTGAAATTGCATCCAAGTATGACTGTAAACAATGTTGTACTTAGATGGTCATTGGCTGTTTACATGTTTGTTTGTTTTTGCCAATATATAATTAGCAATGTTTTTTTCTGAAATTAGATTATTATTAAGGAGAAAGTCTGAATGTGTGAATATAAAACCAACTTTATCTCAATCCTCATCACTACACCCCCAGAACACACATCAGCCGCTCAGAGGGAAACTGAACTGGACCCCGGCTTACAGTCACCCACCAATCGAAGCTTCACCACTGAACTCCACTTAAGAGTGAGAGATGTTTGGGCAGGTATTGACCATGGAAAAAGTGACTGAGCTGAGCCAGAACATCACCCCACCTGACGCCGATGGTCATTCTCATGGATATGGTGTGAGGGAACAACTCATCAATATCCAAACAGAGACTCTGTGAATAATGAACAAACAGACCAGTCCATCACATGCTGGGAGTGTGGTCCTCATAAAATGTTCTATCTATTATTGCTGTTAATTGTTTTTGATTACTATATTACTTATATATTTTGGTAAAGTTGGTTTTACATTCGCACATTCAGACTTTCCCATTAATAATAGAGATTCAGAACAGCATTCCCTGAAAACTCTAAATATTGAAATTATATCAACAACCAACTACTATCGAAGTACAACATTGCTCACAGTCAATTTAATAGTGCTAATGATGTTTTTGAAGTCATAATTGCATGAGATTTCACAACCAATATTTAAAGTAGCATGACAAACAATTAGGGATATATATATATATATATATATATATATATATATATATATATATATATATATATATTTTTTTTTTTTTTTTTTTTTTTTGTGGTTTGTTTTATTATTATTATTTATATTTATTATGAGTTAAAGGATTTGGTTGCCACCATATTTTTTCCAATATAGGCCCAACCACACCTCTTTACAAAATGCAACTACATTTTCTCATTTTTAATTGCACAGTGAAAGGGGAACGTGGTTACAGTACCCCATTGTAGTTATTTTAGGTCGTTATGCATTTGTAATTAAGTAAATTTGTATAATTGTTTATTTCAGAATATTTTGGTAGAACAATTATGTTTGCCAATTTACACCAACACAAACTGAATAAAACATACAATTATATAGCCTACACTGATACTGCCTGATTATTTATTTAGTGAAAAGTGTGGGCAATTGGAACTGTTTGTAGGCATTTATCAGTGTCACTAAACCAGGATAAGGCTTGTGGATTACTGTAGGCCTTAAAAAGGCTTAAAAAAATTTAAACATATCGAACCTAAATTTTAAGCAGCAGCATTACCCGTTAGCTAACGATTAAAAATTTAAACCAATGACCTTTAAAGCTTTCATTTTAAACAAATCTAGACTCAAGAATATTAAACTCTAACATAAAAATTCATCATTAATAACCCGTATACATCACTTTTAATCTAGCAATTTGCTGTCTAGCAAACTCTTATGAAACACTTAATGCTTTATTTATCCAATTTTAATACCTTGTTTGAAACGCACACTTACTGTTTCGTCGCAGGTTGTTTCTTTAATCCTTGTTTGGGTCGAGGTTCCTGTGAATGAGTGTGTCCCCCATCTCTGCGGTCACTGGCAAAAGCTTGAAAGAGGGAGCAGTAGACATTTATGCCTCCCGCTTCAGCGGGACGATACCAACTCAGAGCAAATCACGGGGGAGGACCGATGTGGTAAAGCTTAATGGTTACTTGTTTTATTTACCTATATTATTGATAATTACTCTTTTATGTTTGTTATAGTATTTATATAATAATATGTATCAACATTTTAATTTGTTTAGTTGTACATATTTGTTTGAATCAAATGCTCATTTGTATGTTTTTCACCTATGTCGCGTAAATTAGTAGTTAGGCTCAGCCTGCGTCGATGTGTTTTTGTTTATGTCTGTAATTCAATATAAAACGCGTTTTACGTATTTGTATTTGTTTACTATATAAAGCGTGGATTGGATTACAATATATTACATCGAGAGAGTAAATCGTTGTCATAGATCACATTTAAAAAAAAGCGGTAGCAGCTAGCAGGTAGTGGTGGGCAAAGCGAGGCTTCGTGCAACACTGAAACAGTCGAAGCAAATGTTCGAAGCTTCGAAACGTTTCGAAACCCCACTCTACAGTGACACCTAGTGGTCATTTTTTTATGTATTGCACTGAAACAGCTTCGGCAAAGAACAGTTGAGCCAATTGAGGCATTAAAGTCTACTTTGCATACTTCAGTCTTCAAGTAATATAGTGGAGTGGTGAAGGTGTTTGACTACCATGCAACGATAGTGGGTTCGATTCCAGGTTGACAATGTTTTGAAATGCTTTAATACCAGTTGGTTATGCATTGCTCTTGTATCGTTTTGTTTCAACATTGGACATATCCGAATAAACAATTTGTGAATAAATATGTCTTGTTTTGGTCTTAAAACAGAGATCTAATGCTCAGTACCGCCGCTTAATAATAAAAAGGTATTGTTTTTCTTTGAGGTCATCATATTGTTTACAGTCAATGAAATAGTGCTAATGGTGCTAAATTTCACCTCAATTGCTATAAGCTACCTATATCATCATTTGTATGCTCAGTGCTTTTTTAATTACCTAAATTAAGTAAAACATCTCTTTAGTAAAGTACTTTTAGCATTCAAAAGTAAAATTTAAGCATATAAAACATATTTTCACATTAAACAAAAATTTTGTCTTGTTAAAATGCCAAGTTTTAGGGTTAACAACTTTATTAATCCCTCTAGGGGCAATTCAATTTGGGCAGTAGCATCACGATACAACAAACACATAGAGATAAATCACTTACAAACAATATTAAAAAAACACAATCCAGCATGCCTCATAATAACTTCATAAACACAAAAAACAACAATAATAAAGCACCCATACATTAAAAATGTAAGACTTGCTAAAATGTAAGGTTGTAGCAAGTCTTAAAGTGGCTAATAACTAGGCCCACATGGAAACTGCACGTGCAGAATTCTGCAGATTTCCGCCGATTTTTAGCCCATCATTAATTCTGTTTATTTACTTGAGTAAATGTGTGTAAATCTATATTTATTCATTTTTTAAAATTGATTACAGTAATAATATTGACTAATAAGAAAATGTTCATCTGATTTATGTACAATACAGTTTGTAAAGTAATATTTTCTGTCTTTTAGGAGAGATATTATATAAGAGACTGGCTTTGTTAACCAAATAAAGTGGATCTAATTTAATTTGCATTTTAAACATTAATTATTAAATAATTAAATAATTTTTTATTTCACATGTTAAGGTTTTAGTTATGATACTCCCAAAATAATTCCACAGAAATCCACAGATTTTTAGCAAAATTCTTCGCAGAAATACCAAAAAACGTCTGCAGATTCCGTCTGGCCCTATTCATAACCTTGGAAAATGACTACAGTGGCTGGTGAGCAAAAACTTCATTCATTCATTTTCAACTGCTTTTCCGAGGCCGGGTGGTGGGGGCAGCAACCTTTGGAGAGAACTTCCCTCTCCCTACTGTTCCCTGGCCAGCCGAAAGACATAGCCCCTCCAGCGTGTCTTGGGTCTTCCCTGAGGCCCCCTCCCTGTGGGACATGCCTGGAACACCTCCCTAGGTAGGCGTCCAGGAGGTATCCGAAACAGATGCCCAAGCCATCTCAGCTGACTTCTCTCAATGTGGAGGAGCAGCGGCTCTACTCCGAGCTCCTCCCGGGTGACAGAGCTCCTCACTCTATCTATAAGGGTACACCCTGCCACCCTGTGAAGGGAACTAATTTCGTTCGCTTGTATCTGAGATAAGCTAAAGCTCATGACCATAGGTGAGAGTAGGAATGTACATTAATCTGTAAATTGAAAGCTTTGCTTTTTGGCTCAGCACCTTCTTTAACAAACCGGACTGATACATTAAACACATTACTGCTGCCGCTGCACCAAGCCGCCTGTCAATCTCACGTTCCATCCTTCCCTCACTCGTGAACAAAACCCCAAGATACTTGAACTCCTCCACCTGGGGTGAGGACATTCCTCCAACCTGGAGATGGCAAACCACCTTTTTCTGGTGGAGCACCATGGCCTCAAACTTGAAGGTGCTGCTTCTCATCCCGGCTGCATCGTGCTCTGCAGCAACTTAATATCAAACCCATTTAACCACTATTAAGACTACCATGTTTACAGATTTATTTATATTTTATGTAGTTTTTAGTATATATCAGCTTATTAATCATTCATTCTTATTTTCCTTTCGACTTAGTCACTTTATTAATCTGGGGTCACCACAGTGGAATGAACCGCCAACTTATCCAGCATATGTTTTACGCAGCCCTTCCTGCAGCAACCCAGTAGTGGGAAAGCTTATCAATCACATGGACTGAATAATAATTCCCCAAAGTACATCCATTTATTGAATTAATGTAATAATAATAATTTTTTTTTTCTTCCGGCGGCGCTATGGCCTGTGTAGAGCCCTGGCCTCTTCCACCACTCCTCTCCAGCCTTCCCGATCCAAAGCCTGCATTCTCCAGGCAGGCACTCTTAGGGTACGTAGATCAATTCCGACATCATCTAACCACCTCTTCCGTGGCCTACCAGGACGTCTCCTTCCTTCTAGTCCAGCATACAAGCTAAAACTAGAAGGAATAATTAGAAATGCTTTAATGTAAATGGATGAGTATGTAAAGTTATAACAATATTTTCAGCATCAGTCTTTTATTTTGTTTCAAATGAATACTTTCATTCATTCATTCATTTTCTTGTCGGCTTAGTCCCTTTATTAATCCGGGGTCACCACAGCGAAATTAACCGCCAACTTATCCAGCATGTTTTTACGCAGCAGATGCCCTTCCAGCCGCAACCCATCTCTGGGAAACATCCACACACACATTCACTACGGACAATTTAGCCTACCCAATTCACCTGTACAGCATGTCTTTGGACTGTGGGGGAAACCGGAGCACCCAAAGGAAACCCACGAGAACGCAGGGAGAACATGCAAACTCCACACAGAAACGCCAACTGAGCCGAGGCTCGAACCAGCGACCTTCTTGCTGTGAGGCGACAGCACTACCTACTGCGCCGCTGCTTCGCGCCAAACGAATACTTATTAATTCTAAATATGTCAGACAGGATTGTTTTAGTGCATAAACTGGTCAAACTAATGGTAATAACGTATGAAAATCATATTTTTTAATAAATAAATAAATAAATAAATAGCACATTCTAAAGCTGTATCACAGATTTATTGTTGCGATACTTAAAATCCCCTTCAGTCTCTAGCCAATCTACTCAAAAAGTAGAAAAATAACAAGACCTGGCACAAATCATTACTCAGAAACGTACATACTTTATTGAATTATTTCTCTTTGATACAATAAATGAATAGAATTCTTGAACATTGTTAAAGATGTATCTGGGAATACTGGGGTTATAGGATACGTGATTTTCTTTAATCATAACAGCAAAACTGGCTCAGTAAGAAACACAAAGCAGGGTGTCAGCATTATAACATTCCTTGGAAAAATTAAACACCAACCCATGCAAGGCTTCAGAAAAAACTTTGGCATTGACCAATAGCGAAAGCTGAAAGCAGTCAACAAACCAAGCTGCTGCGTTATACATGTGGAGGCGCATTATTTACTTCTCAGAGATCCTGAAATGAGGGGAAAAAAACTGCGGCGATTTATAGCAAGAAACACTGATCAAGTTTAAAATCCCCTTTTAGATGGGGAAAACGTCACGAAAATATCCTTGATGAAATATGGAGTGATTTATATGATATGAAATGAAATATTTCTGAGTTTGGTGTTCACCTGTGAGTCGTGTGTTTGTATAATCATAAATATATGACTTTGTTCATCAATAACACTGTTAAAAATATAAATCATGACTCTAACTTAAGCTTTATGTTTTAAAATGTTTATTTATTGTTTATTTAGTAGTGTTTATTTTATGTTTATTTAATAGCAGAGCCGGTTTGGTGCTGTTTCTCTTGGTTAATTGATTTCATCAAATACGTTCACGATACAGACCACAATTTCATTTCATTACTGAAAGGCACATTTTAAACCAATTCTTCATGGATTTGCCCATTAAATGCCTGAATACAAAAAATGCAAACATAAATCTAGTCAATATTAACTCTTTCCCTGCCAGCATTTTTGATTAGTTTCACAAAATTTTAATGGTGTGGTGGCCGAGAGAGCTTTTTGTGCTGCAGTTCAAGAAAACACATGCAATTACAAAAAACGGCAGCAAATTAAGAAAGGATCTTCATACATTTGACAGCACACGTGCTCCAAATCCTCACAATGCAAACACATTTAAAAAACTTGCTGCATTTTCACACAACGCAAACAAATTAATAAAACACGCTGCATTTTCTTACAATGCAAACACATTATAAAAAAAAACATGCTGCATTTTCTCACAACGAAAACAATTTAGCAAAAGTGTTGCATTTTCTGACAACAAAAACACATTAATTAAACGTGCTGTATTTTCACACAACGTAAACAAATGACGAAAATGTGCTATGTTTTCACGCAACACAAACAAACTAATAAAGGGCACTACATTTTCTCACAACACAATTTACGAAAAAA